GTCTTTTATCATGTTTGATCCGAAAATATTTGTATAGGATGCAAGCTTTTTTTTCAAGATGAAGGCAATGAATAGTATTTCGTTCATTTTACTTTGTTGTAACCTAATCCTCCTCCCTTTCTTTTCTTAACAAAAGTCACCATTTTTAATTTGGGTTGTGCATTGCACTGCATTAGCGACTTGGAGATAGAATACAGATGGTTCTTCCAGCTGGTTCCTCAGTACTATCGGATGATTTAATCATCCTTTTTAGCCAAAAAATTTGGCGTTTTCAATCTTTTATTAAAAAAAAAGAAATTTATTTAATTCGATCACTATTTTACCAGAAAATTACCAGAAAATTAAAATTTTTGCATTGCAAATTCTTTATAAATTGTTTTTGGAAATGAATAATTATTAAAATAAATGAATAATTTTTATGAAAAAATTACTGCTTGAATTTTTGCATTAGAATAATTCAAATAAATTTCTTTAATTTACGAATAATTCAACCGGTGAATTATTTTTCGATGCATTTAATAAAAATATAGCCGATTTAAAAAAATTCTACAAAATTCGAATTTCAGTTTCGAGGACAGTTCCTCGATATCATCGGGAATATCTGAAAATTTGGACGATATATCGACCGACGATTTAACTGGGAGGTGATCTTTTTAATTTCGGTTTCACTCAGTTACGGTGGCAGTGATGAGATTAAGCCTATCGATGAGTATATAAAAGTTCTTTAATAATAATAGTTTACCATACCTTAAGATATAATAATTCCAAAATTTTCATTCTAAATACTACTGAAGTGGATTTTTTATTTTGTGGAACATTAATTGATATGATTGATTTAGTTCGTTATCGGATTATGCAATGACAGCAACTACAACGAAATTCAATGATTATCAACGGTATAATGTTAAAAATTTATCTCAAAAACGAAGTTTGAGTAGTTCAATCGAAGAGAATCATCGCCGATTTTACAATCAACAAAATATCGACGAATTATTACGAAAATGTCGAACAAGTCAGAGAGGAATTGCTTGTAATCCACAAGTTAGTAAAAAATGCCAAAAAATTTTAATATTTACTAATTTAAAGAATTTAATAAATTTTTTTGGCATTGATAAATAATAAAAAAAACATCAAAATTGCCACATTTTGGACAGGATGATCAAGTTATATATTGCTTCGACTATGGTTAAGCTATCAAAGATTCACATAGTTATTCCTTAGTGCGAATAGATCTTTTATTAGAAGTGAATTAGGTGTGTTACTACCACCTGTGTTTCCATAACTTAACGACTTTCTGGCTGTAAGATCTAATAGCCAAGTCCTAATAGCCAATGGAGTTAACCAAATCACAAATGGTAAGTGCTGTTTGAACAAAAAGAAGAATAGACTACATCAGCTGCAATTTTTTTAAAAAATCCGTTCTGTGAGATTTTTTTCATTTGGCTCATTTCTTTGAAATTCGCTTTCAAGACTGATGATTTTATGTCAAAATTTTTTCAAATTTCTATTTCTTTATATTTAAAAAAATATTTGAAATTGACTATTTTTTTATTCAACATTTTCTTTTAAAACGAATTTATTCACTAAAAAAAAATTAAAAAATCGTTTTGAGACTAAAAAAGAAGGAAATTGCTTCGCATTCACCCATAATTTAAAGAATTTGAAGAAAAATATTAAATTTTCACCGATTTCTTTATTATATTTATTTTATATGACCAAGCTTAATAGAAGAATATAACTATCCATAAAATTTCAAAAAATTTCTTTAAGATTTCCGCTAGATATAGTGACTGTGGCCAACGTGCGCTTTACCATACGATGGGCACCACTACTAATGGTGCAAATAATACACAGTTGTCATTAAGCGATGATGGTGATACATTATGTATACGTACTACATCAACAAAACGGGATCATCAAGTGCAAGCAGGACCTGGTAAGTTCATTCATTGAAATATTTTTTTGAAATATTTTCTCAACTCAAATTGTCTAATTTTATTGTAATATTAGTGAAAAATGTCAGTGTCAAAAAATAAAGGTTCATTGACAAAATTAATTTGATTTTAAATGAAAGGGAAAAATTTCAAGAAAAAGAAATTTCTAAAAAATACTGCGAAATTCGAAAACTTGTTTATTTAAAGTGTAGATAGGTGTCCTTTAATATTTCTTTAAAGAAAATATTTTCCTTTTGTCAATTTTTCCAATAAAAATTTATTAAAAATAAAACTCGTGAAAATTTTTTGTTCAACAAATTTACCCATCGTGCTCATTTTTTTGTCGAATTTTGATGACAAATGGTAAATTTTATTGAAAAAAATAATAGGAGTTTTGATATAGAATAATAGGAATAATTTCTATGGCTGTAAAATTTGATTTTAAAATTTCATTGGAATTTGATAAATGAAAATTTAAAATTTTAAAATTTTGATGATTGTTAATATTTCATTAATTATTAAAATGAAGTGACTTGATATAAATTTAATTATTTCTTAACTATTTCATTAAAAAAATTATTTCAATGAAATTATAGAAATTCCATGTTCTCAATTTTTTTCGACGCCAATTTCTTATAATTTTTTATAATAATGTTATAATAATAAATAATGATTGAAATAAATTTTCTTATTCATATGAGAAGCATTTTTTCACCTGAATTTTTGTTTTTTTTATCGTTTTATTATTTATTTAGCATTCTAAAATTTTCTTTATTTCATCTTTCATTATTAATTGAACACTTTAATCTTATTGTTATCTGAATACTAAAGTATTTTCATTATTAAAATACAAATATTTATAGACCGATTTAATACTTTCTGATATTTCAGGTTTATCTGTCTTGGCTGGTTACCATTCATTGGATCGTAAAGCTCATTTAATGAATTATTGTCAAACTAATCCATTTAGGTATTCGCATTTATAGAATTAGATCTCTTAATGTAGCAGTTTTACTTCTTATTCTTTGTAAATATATTTGTTAAAAATATATTTTAAGACTGACAACAAGGAGAACAGAAATGATTGGAACAGAAACATCTGCTGCAACATTAGCAATGGTTAGTCCACGGAGATTACCGAATACGCCTGCTGAGCAACAGTTCTTATTAGCTAAACCGAGTGAGCCAATGATTAGTCGCCATAGTACCACAGGTATTTCTTTACCACTTAAACTTTATTTTTTAGATATTGAATACATATGAATGGAACTTGAATAATAAAAAGAAAGGAACTTTTTTTATTTTCAATAAGAAAGGAAAGAAGAAGAAAGAAAAAGTGTAATTTCACAAGAAGAAATATTTTTGCATGTCATTTGGAATATTTGCATGATAGTTATGAATAATATTCGAACCTTTTATTATTTATATATAAAATAATTGAAATTAAAATGAATAATAAAATTTAAATTATGAAATAAGTGAAATTATTTTCATAAAATATTCGTTGAAACGAGTATTTATGGGGTAATTATTAGAAATTAAAAATATATTAGAAATGATAAAATATAAAATAAAAATGATAGAATTATTAGAAATATATTAGAAATGATAAAAAATATTCGAATCCTTTGGGTATCACAGCTTTGCTTTTTATCTTTTATCATAGGGATTAGGTTTAGGTTTTGGAAAAAAGGAAAAAAAATCTATGGTTAAGATGAGTACATATAGAATAAAAGAATCGAATGAAATTTTCTAAGAAATACCAAAAAATTTTAAAAAAATTTTATGAAAAAAATGTATAAAAAGTTGTCAAAAAATTTTAGTTAGCTTGCTTATATTTAGCAAATCGCTCAGCTTGCTTATCATCATCCGGTATGTCACGCTCAATGATACTCGTCACACCACACTCTCCTAATCGTGCTTTACTATCATCAACTAAAGTTAATGCGGTTGAAGCATCACCAATCAATTCAAAATTATTTGCTAAACGTATACCTCTTACGATTGCTGCTAATCCCTCAACTCATATTACTCGTTCTGCTACTCCTAATTTTACTTATGCTTCTATTTCTAATTCTGCTACCACTAATATTGCTACTGCTGCTGTTCCTGTCTCTTCTAAACATTTTAAAATGCCACATGGTAGTAATAAACTTTTTTTTCTTAATAAATAGGCACTTAATCATTTATGGTTCAAATACGATAATTTATCACATTGATTACATCGATTTTAATAAAATTTCATTACAGATTATTATAGTAAAACGTTAATATAGGATTCTCAACCTCGTAAGGAATTCCAATTTGGGCCTTTCAAATAGATGAAGGCTTATTGAGATATGTTAGTAGCATCCAAGGCCACATAGGCAATCTTCCCAAATGAGATTTTACTCTGACATATGATGAAAAGATTGATGAAGCTAAAAAGTTAAGAATCATCGGGTGATAAAGATAGCAAATTACATTTTTTGTTCCATATCCTTAAATGCTTTGAATTATGCAATAGTAAGCTTAATCGTGAATGCAAAATATTCTTCCATTTTTATAGCAAATTTTTAATTTTATTATATTTAATTTTATTCTTTTATAATTTGGCTTTGCCATAACGCTGCCATCATTTATCTAATTTTTTAGTTGCTTGAATTTTTCCCTTGCACGTCATTTTTAATCACTTTTTCCTATTTCCTATTTTATATCATTGTTAATAGCGAAGCAAAACCCGTTATTGTCGTTCAGAGAAGTATACAGCAAATACAAAGACCTAATTATATGAAAGCCTAAGGTCAAGTTTAGCTTATTTTTTGGATAGAAGGTTCTGGAATGCTGTATCTATAGGAATCTGTAGTTTAAAAAGGTATGAAAGGACTGTTACAGGTTTGAGTTGGGGAATACATCCTTTTCATGCACATTAAACTTAAATACATTCAAGTAGGTTTTTAATAGTGCATTTTTTTTAAAACGTACTATTTTCAATTCATATTTTCATATCTTCATATATATTCATCTTCATATTTTCTTATATCTTCCAATATCTTCATATTTTCAAAATATTTTTTTAATAATTCTATGGATTTTTCAATAGGTTCATCGTTGTTATCAACTCGAAAACAACAAACTGAAAATATTTATGCAAATTGCATTTTCAAGGATCAAAATTTACAGCTGCATAAATTATCGGATGATTGTATCAGGTTAACCTTTATTTCATATTTGAACAAAACTACTAATGTGATACAATTTTGGTTGATTGACCTTTGTAAGTGATTCGCTTCTAAACTATCCTAATAAGATTAAGGTTTATTTTCTATTAATGATTCGATGGGATTTATTCCATTTTCGTTGATCATTAATTAATATTTTTAACTAATACTACCGTGAATATTTTAAAAATATATTTGTTGTAAACAATCAATTTAATATTATAGGAGATCGCCAATAAAAATATCACGATTTATTGAATCAAAAATAAATAATTCAGCAGATATTAATGAATTGCAGCAGTATCTTGTTTCATCGTCTTCATCGATGTATTCAACGGTAAAATTCAATTAATTACTTTTTGATTTTAATTGTTCTTTAGATTGTTAACTGTCGGAGTCTACTTTAAATTATTACAAATAGGTGGAAGAACGCTATGAAGCAGAAATTCGAAAATTGAACAAAGAAATGGAATGTTATCGTGGAACAATATTGAAATTAACAGCAAAACATGATGGATATAATCATTTAATACAAATTTTTGATAATAAGCTAAAAATTATGGCAAAATGTGTAGAAAATTTGCAAAATAAATCGACTTTTAAAGTTGGTGTTTGTTTTATTTTTAAATCATTCTTTAACTTAATTTATTATTAATCATTTGGTAGATGAATCTGTGTAGATTTTTTGATTCGATAGAAATTATTGAAACTGTTGAAATTTCTTTGGATTAGAATTTGTTTAAAAAATTAAACGGGAAATTGAGGAGATTTTTGTTATTATAAAAAGATCTAATAGAGAAAAAATGAGTGGAGGATTAGTGAATGCATATTCTTCGACTAAATATAGTTTCTTTTTATTTTTCTCGACAAGAAAATGAGTGAACTCCGAATGGTGCTATAGAGAGACTCAGTTGCTCTACAGGAATGAATATCGTATTAGCCTATAGTAATGATAAGTGGAGGAGTGGATGAGTGAGCAAAGATAATATTAATATAATAATATTACTAAAATTTTTACCACTATTTAAAAAGATTTTAGAAGGAAGAAGTGCAAAAACTTCGTTCTGAAATTGATAGTCTTCGAATAATGAGTATTAGCGCTGGTGCTGTTAATATTTCAAATAAAAATAATCCAAATTCCACATCTCAATCAGTTTGCTTTTTATTTTTCTGCTTTTTAAGGATCTATGAGTTTTTTTTTGCAGATTAGATAGTAAATTTTTGTTTGGGCGAATTTTTTAATATCTTCGAAAAAAAGTTTCTAACAAATTTAAATCATTTAAAGGAGTGGGATGTTTAAATTTGAATATTTAGCGATTTGCTTTTAGAAAATTTAAGAAAAAGTTTGGAGGTTTTCAGAAATTCTTTATTTAAGGATAAACTTTTATATAAAGTGGTCTTTTTTTTGAATTTCTGCATCTTATGAGCCTCTTAAAGAGATAAACTATTGCGAATTAAGAAGAAGGAAAAATGAAGAAAATTAATTTTCATTATTTTCTTCAATAAATGATGCAAAAATTATTAAAATTAAAATTACAAAAGTGAAATTAAAATTAAGGATGGTGCTGGTGAATTATTACGACATCCATCGTTGGAAAGTGTGACAAGTCATCGTTCTTCGATGAGTTCTTCAAGCAAAGGTAGTAAAACTGATAAAAGCAGCCTAAACGGTTTTGGCAAACAAGCGAAGAAAAGTTGGGTTCGTCTTTTATTATTAGTGAAAAGAGGATATATTTTTTAATAATTTTCATTAATTGCAAATCTCAATTTGAAATTCATAAATTTTAATGATTTTAATTTGATAATTTGATAATAATTTGAAGGCAGCGAACGTTGATGTACAGGTATTTGCAAAACATTATTTTTGTGTTTCGTGCTCATTTCGTTTTTTTTTAATATTTTTTGCATGCAAAAGGCACTAAGGTTGAGCGATATTGTTGCTTCGATTTGCACATAGTTGCAGTTCGATTCACTGTTTTACAGGTGTAAACCTATCATGATAGTTTAAATTCGGGTGGTGTTGGATTGGACACCGTCTGCATATGAAATTTTCTGACGACTTCCGGTAGAATAAAGCAACCAGATTATCGGATATAAAAATTTATTTTTTAAAAATATTTCTCGAATAATCTGTTGTATTTTTGTTGAAATTGGCTTGATTAAAGTTGCAAAAAGATAAAAGTGATTTTTGTTGAAATTTAAACTTTTTTTTCAATTTTTTTGCAGATAAGAACTTCGTTTTCAAAGGCTTTTACAAAAAATAAAAAAAATAAAAATGGGTCAGTTTCTGATGTCGAAAATTCACCGTTGCATATCGCAACATCTGGTATATCATCAACATTAAAACCCATCTCGGGTAGCACTAATAGGTGAAAAATTTTTTTTTAAATTGCTACGAATGAGTAGTTGTTCATGCTTTTTTTTTAGATTAGACGACATTGATAGTGTTCCTCAGCTCATTGAACTTAAGAAACAATTACAAGACAAAGACTCGACTTTAACTGATGTCAGATTAGATGCTCTTGATAAGGCTCGAGAAGTCGATGTTCTTAAAGAAACAATAAACCGATTAAAGGTAAACTTTTCTACAAATTTTTTACTTCTTACTCTCAGTAAAACTTTCTTTTATATTATACTAAATGTTTATATATAGTTTCGCTTGCTTAACTGACCAGAATAAAACCATTCTGCCATTTGGGGATGGAAATAGTGATGTAGCGCTATATTCAAATTTGATAATAAAGTCATAATCCATTCTAAATATTACTCGGTCCTGTATTCTTTAAAAAAATTAAAATTTTAGACGGAAAATAAAATACTAAAGCAGAATTACACTATATTGGAAAGAAGAATTCGTGCTGAAAGTCGTACAAGTTCACAACAGTCATTATCAATTCTATCCGACGAAGGACCTGTTTATGAAACTCCTCCTAGTGAAAGATCAGTTTCTTCATCTGACTGTACATTTTAAAGCTTTCTTTTTTAATTTTAAATTGGAATTTTTCAAAGTCACACAATTGCCAATGAATTTGGTTTCAGGTCCATCTGGTTCAATTAATTTGAAAGTAACTGTAAGTGTTGACTTTAGTGGATTTCTTCGACCTCAAATTTCTTCAAATGAAATATCAATTGGTTCTATCGCAATGCCGAATTCTGAAATGTCTTGGCAAGAACTTGATTCCCGTTTAATCCGTCTGTTCAATGTATTTTCAGTTTGCAATAAAATAGATAATAATTACCATAGCTATCAAATATTTCTGAAATATATGTTTATTGCGATACCAAATGTCATATTTGTTTAAGGATTATATATCCCGAATCGATCCTAACGCTGCGCTAGAGCTTAATGGTAACGATTCAATAATTGGTTACGAATTTGGTGAATTCATTCGAGATATCGAATCAAATTCTGCTCCATCACCAAAACCCATTAATGTACTAAATTCTCGAAGCAATTTACGCATTTATTTAAAAGGTAACATTATTTTCATAATTCAGAAAATTTAACTTCTTAAACGTTTAACAAAGTAGGCCTAACAGTCATATGCTTGAGTTCCAAATAATATATACTAAAGAAAATAATATTAGGGAAAATAATAAGGGAATGGTCCTAAGTTTGGCTTTGTAGCTAACCAATATTTGTGAAAAAAAACTGCGTCACTCGTTAATTTATCTCAGTATTTCACAGTCCTCCCTTTTGGCCCTTTTGGTTTACAAATAGTTCCACACAGCTTCAAACCATTGTCTTTCTAGTGGCATTATAGAATAAATTATAATCTTTAGAGCAACAGAAATGAAATTCGAAATCAAATGAAATTTTTTTAGTAAGAAGTATATTATTTAATTTTTATAATTTTTAATGCGACTAATTTCCATACACCAAAAAATATATAATTAACTGAAGAGAGGATTTATTTATGCTAACAATGTTAAACGTTATTTGTGAAGATTTTAAGCATTATATTTGAAATTTTAGAATTCTAACTATCAGTATGCTATGTAAATTAAATTATATTATAATCAATATTCTCAGCAATCGTCACGCCGAGATCTGCGAAATTAGCTAATCGTATAATATTAATGTATTTGTTTCTTCTATAGGAAAGAGATTAGGAGATTTTGAATTAATATTTAATATTTAGCATTTCTTGGTCGATTTATCAATTAATTTATCAGTGCTTAAACCATACTACCATCGCTTTTAAAATTTGTGATAAATCTTCGATTCCTTCATGTGAATAATAAATTTTACGTTGTAGAGTTAAATGTTAAAATTAAAAATAACTTTATTACCATCATTAAAATCTATTAAAATTTTCAAAGAACTGAAGCAATTACCTTATGGCACTAAGTTAACCAAAAGAAAGACGAAATATGGATTGATACCACACTTATACTGATAAACATTGATTAAAAAATGGAGGAAAAATCCTGTTTACAGTATTGCCATTAATTTAACTATGAATTTGTTAAATCTAATTATTGTCTAATTATTGCAAATTTTCCGGTGTTTCTCAACGAAGTATTGATGGTCTTATTCTCGACTGTTTATTTCCACGTTCTGTTATTGATCAACTACTTAACGCTTTGTTAACATGTCGACGCCTTGTCCTGTTTGGTGCAACCGGTATTGGTAAATCGAATTTGGCAAGACAATTGGCCAAATATGTTAGTTTAATAATTGGTGGAAGTGGTGGAGGAGTATCGAACAATTCCATTGTTGATATAAGAATTAGTGACGATGATCATGACAAAAATATTGCTCAGGTCTTTTATTTTTACGAATAATTTTAGAAATCAAGAATTTTACGAGTGAACTTAGTGAAAAAAACACTACACTTTACAAAACACTTTTAATGAAAACTATAGCTGCAAAATATTTTTGAAAGTCGTCAATTGTTTATTTGTCTGGAGTAATGAGGAAGAATAGCCAGTTGTTGCTCAGATTACCATTTTAAGCGTCAGGCGTTCAGATCCTGCTTTCGTTAAGAATATGCTTCTCATTTAAAATTCCTGGTGGTATTGAGGGTTTCGCCTATACTTCTATCGCCAAATGGCAAAAAATTTACTATTTTAATAGCCAGTTGGGTCGCTATAACTAGAAATGATAGATGCTAAGCGCTTTCTTATATTTGAGGTAAAAAACTATTATATTTTATTATATTTTTTATTATGTTATGATTAACTATTATATTTTAAGAAAGACCTCAGGAGGCTCGTAGCATAAGTTTTTCAGAAGTAAGATTTCCAAGTTATTTTGCTGTGTAGGGTATATCTTTGTGTATGGATTAATTCTTTTTGATCCGCTTTTCTGTACTTGTATAATAAGCTCATTAAGATATCTTGTTTTTTGACTTATTGCTTAAATGCACTTTTATAATTCTTTCTTATTCATTAAATCTTTTTAGATGTTTCCAATAAGCTTTAAATAAATTGTTTTTAGACTCCTATATTTTGCTTTTTTTAGGTTCAAAGAGATTTAGAATCATATTTACGATCATCAAAACCTATAGTCATACTTCTTGACAATGTACAACGTCATAGAATCGCTCTCCTCAGCTCTTCGTTTAGTTCTATTGACGTACCAGCAAAAGATGGACCATATGTGATTTGTACGGTTAATAGAGCGTCTCAGCTTCCTGAAATGCAAGTCAGTTTTTGCTATATTGGTTAGTCCAATTTATTACAGTACTGCAATTATTCACTCGATTATTTTAGATGCATCATAATTTCCGAATGTTCTTATTACCAAATAATGTGGATGCGATTCGTGGATATATTGGTCGATATTTGAGAAGAAGAATATTGGAAAATGAATTCAGGAATAATGAACATGCTCCACCTGAATTATATCGAATTATAGATTTCTTACCGAAAGTTTTAACTGCTATCAATTCGGTTCATTTTGGATTAATTAAAAACTGTTTTTTCTACAATTAGAGCCAGAACAGCCGAGTGGTTGATCATTATATTATCGTCTTGAGCAAATTTCCAATTCTTTCTTCGAGTGAATGAACCTGTCTTTAAAGGTTCAGGTGTTGCTAGGGATTTATCTGTATTTCTATCGCCAAATAACTCTCTGACAAAAATTATAGTCTCAATGAAGGAAGAGTAACTAGAAATACGCTAATAATTTACTTATCTTCAAAAATTAGAAAAATTACAGTTTATCGAGAAAGCGAATTCTCGCGATGTAACAATCGGTTCACGAATCTTCTTGCAGTGTCCTCTTAATATTGAACAATCATTGCAGTGGTTTGTCAAACTATGGAATCAAATGATTATCCCATATATGATTAAAGTGGCTAAAGAAGGTCAGCCATTTTAATACCTTTTTTCCACATTTTTCTAAGTTTTTAATATATTTTTGTATTTGAAAGTTTCATTATTTAATCATTAAATAACAAAACTAAAATGCAAGAAATTTCTTCTTTAATTTCTAATTTCTAAGTGATTGAATAAAATTTATTTAGCTTATGGATTTAGCCTTAAATTATATAATATTAAAAGATTTTAAGGTGTAAAAGTATTAGGACGATGTGGTAGTTTTGAAGATCCGACAGATACGATATGTGAATATTGGCCATGGATTGATGGCCCAAGTGCTGAAGAAAGTCTTCAACGTTTATCTATTAAAGAAACTTTATATAATTCTTCTAATGGAACACAGTTCAACCCATTAGAAGCATTAATGAGAATTCAGTCTAATAATTCGAATTCACAGCAAGAAGTTAATTAACTCATTGTTCATTAACCTCTTCCCTTCCTCAGTCAGCTTGCATCATTGCTGGTTAGGCGTATGACAAAAGGTATGGATCCTTTGGCTATAAGAATTCTTAATGTTGGCAGACCTTCATCCATAATACAATAGAATTTTCGTGATTATCGTTTTTGTTCATTTTCCATCCTCCTTGTGTGATAATTTCAGAAAAGTTTAAAAAATTGAAATATTTTTGAATTATTCGATTGAATTAATTTGAAGTAAATATATGAATAAATGAATAAATTTAAAGCAGCTAATTTACACGATTTTTGTTAATTTTTTTTTTAAAAGATTTTTTCGCTTAATTCAATTGTTAATTTAATTCACTTAAAAATCACTGAAAATTTATATTTAAAATTTTTTTTAGCAAAATGATTTCGCAAATTCATTAAGAAAAGAAAATTTTTTAAAAAGTATTCGTCCAAAAAATTTTTTACCTAAAAAATTACGAAATTTAAAATATTCTTAAAATATCTTTTTATTATTAAGTAACTAAAATATTTTTATAAGCAACGGGTTTCTTTCTCAATAATTTTTAAATTTCTCTTGTATTCATTGTTTTTTATTTGTTATTTTATTACAGAAATATGCTGCCAATTATAGTACTTCGATTTTTTTGTTAATTTTTTATTGCTCTTCGCATTTTTCTTTAATAAATTTTTCTTAGTTGCGTCTTTATATTCTACAATTTTTATTTTTAGCAACTATGGTTGGAGCCCTATTTCTTTCTTATCTTCATAGCACCCACCATGCGAATTTCATTTTTAAATTTTATAATTTAAGTGGCTAAAAAAAGTTAATGGCAGACGGCAAACATAAAGGTCCAAGAATCTGTGACGGCTTTGTCATTATAATAATATGCCACTTAATCGACTATAAGTTGTTACTCAAAGTTCCAATAAGAATTATCATTTTAGAAAACACGAGAACATTCAAAAATTCTTAAAAAATGAAATACTAAAATCCAACTCGTTGTGGAATTATTCAGTTGTCGTCTTTGATAAATAATTGTTGATAATAAATAATTTTTTTCGCATCTTTTAATGGTGTATAACGTTTCTGGTTTGGTTGATTCAACCGTCTATGAGATCTTTTCGCCCGAAAATCGGTTGGGAAGAGATGGGACTATGATACCAGCATCACCAGTATTTTACTTTAAATGATAAGTTACAAGTTCAGTTGCAAATTTACTTCAGTTTACCTTTTGATTGACTAGTTAGTTGCTTTTAAATACGCCTTGCTACGTGAATTAATTGTAAATTTACAATTAAGAAAATTCGAAAAATTAATTGATGAAAAAAAAATTCAAACATATGATAGCTACAATATGATAGTGATAATAGGCTAGACTTGTTGATATGCTTTTTTCTTTCAAAATAAGAGCCGAGACATTCATTTTTTATTCTTTCATTGATATCGGAGTGATAAATGAACTTTTTTAAGTGATAAAATTTTTATTACGCTAAAAAACCCTAAAATTTTTTGGAACCATCAAAATTTTTAAGTTTTTAAAAAGAATTCAGTTCATTTCATCTTTTGAAGATTTTGTCTGAATTTCACTGATAAACAATATTTTTGATTTTATGAATGGAAAAGTTTTGAAATGACAAAGTGGTAAAAAAATTTTTTTGAACGTCGAAAAGTGATAAGAATGATAAATGTAAAGAAAGAAAAACAAGAGACAATGGGGGAACAATGCGCTTTTATCACTGATAAAATTTGTTATAATTCTTAGCTGAATTTATTTTAAAAATATATTTTAATATTTGGAGGTAGGCATATCTCTCTTATCTATGTGTGCATGAAAAATTGGTTTCTTGCAGACAATAGAAATAAAGGAGAAAATTCTAATATATTATTTTAAAAGGTTTACTTGTTAATGGAACCTATAATTACCTTGTAAATTACATATTCACGATGATAAAAATACGAATTCTATTAAATATCAGCTAAACTTCGAAAGAAACTGGTAAGCTTGACGCGTCATTCATTTCAAACACTGTGGAAAATCTTTTCCTTATTTATGAAGTGATACGGTAAATGGATAAAATATGGATGTATGGTGCGAATGATGAGAATCCACGTTTCTATTTTGGCTGGATGCTGTGGAGAATACACATGTGTTTCATCCTTTCATATTGAAATGACTTTGGTGAAAGCCATGTCAAGCAATCCTGTTGGCTATAAAAAACTGAAACAAAGAATTCCTGTTGGCTATAAAGAAATTATTTGCTTCAATATTTTCGATATTTAAAATTTATAAAGATAAACAAGTTTTATAGAAAGCTTATAATATGTGCTAATAATATTTCTAAAATAGTGAAAAGTTTTAGAAGAATGACGCAAATATGAAAATACTGAAAAAAATAGAAGAGCATGAAGCTATAATTTCAATTAGGTGTTTTCTTAAAGCGTTTCTATTTGTGATTTCTTTATTCGTTTAATGCCCAAATTTGAAGTTGTACCATTCAGATTTTTTTAATGGAACTAGTAAGTAAAGCTAAGCGCTTACCATTCTGGTAAGATTAATCGCGTTAGTCAATTAGAAATTTTTCAGGGAGTTACTTGGTGATTACAAGTATAAATGAGTCGTCGTTGCTGTTCAGGAAAATCTGCTCCTGCTAGAAATAAAATCCCAATATTGCCTCTGAAAACGATAATCTCAATCGCTATTCTCTCTCTAGTTGCTGAAATAATTCTTTATAATTCTAAAAGGCTGAGTTTTACGAGTGAAATAGGTAAAAGCGCTAAAATTTTAATTGAGTAGAATTTTTAAATAATTGAATTCTTTTATTTTCTAATTAATGGTGCTAGGATGGTCGACGATGATTCTTGACGATGAGATTACTTTATTTGAATTTACTTCATCTAATGTAACCTTTTTTGGCCTATTTTAACCATTTCTAAATGGATTACCTCCTTTTTACCTAAAATTGGTCAATGAAATTAGTTTTAAAATATTTCATCAGGCCAATTTCGGGCAATGATGGGGAAATCTTTTCTCTCATTTTTTCCGTTGATTTGAATTTGCTTATCATTCACCATGATAATTTTAAATGAAAAGTAATTTCAGAAGAAATGACCGTTTAGCGTCAATCAATTTCCCACCAGTTATCTGCCTCCATGGGAATCGTCATGGTGATAACCCAATAATAAAAGTCTATCCACACCTGCTTTATAACTATTCATTATTTACTTAAATGTAAATAAAGCTCAACAGTCCACATGCGAGAATTAAGCAGGTGGCTGAAATTGAAAATTAAGAGTACCTCTCGTCTTATAAAATAATTTAATGCAAAATACAGGAGAAATACAGTGGACAGTGAATATCCTAATTCTTGAACCAGTTGCAATGTTATCAATGAACCATTTACGAGAAGAATGTGGTTGGTTGACCATCAATAACCCGATCAGCAGATTACAGCTGTGGAAATTGCAAGGAAGTTTGAAATGAAAAAGATTACTTTTAACTAATGTTTTTAACAATATAGATAAGAGCATAATTGATTTCTTATTTTCTAATATAAGTACATGTGAGTCGCCAGCATTACCCGGATTTTCGGACAGGTTTGCCCCGTCACTCCAAATTGAGCTACAACACACTGAGCATTAATGGTTACTGGTTAGGCTACCTCTACTTGTTAGGGCGTTTCCAAATCTCTTGGCTCAAAGTAGTAAAAATGAAGGTTAATAATTGCGTAATTCAAGCCTATATATCGTTGGTCTGCTCGTGCGTTCTAGCACGATAAAGATATCGCAGGTGGTATCTGAATGACCATGTGAAATTCTATCCCCTATCATTTTGTATATTAGGCAAGAGTGGCCAATAGATGCGAATTTATATTTTAATACTGATTTCATTTCCCATAGAGATTCCGGAAGAAATAAAGCATTTCGAACTACGGCTCTCAGGACTGGAATTTCGTCTTTAGCTTGGCTGTTCCCCGCAAGAGTGGGATATATTCGACATTTCCTCAGTTTCTTGCCATGCTTCTAATATATTTATTGCACTTTTTAGTTCGCTCTCTAATTTTTCAGAAACTAAATAAATAAAATGTTATCAATGAATTTTTGATTAATATATTTCATTTCACTGCCTGGGAATCATTTTAAAATAAATTTTTATCTAAATCGAAAAGGTTTCGAATTAAATAATTAAATAAATAGCCTAAATAATTATCTAAAACATTTATTTATTTAAAATATTAATTTACATAAATTTAATTAACTTTATATTTATTGAGTTCCATACTTAAAAATAATGCAAAATAAATATCTTTGTTTCTAAATTTTGATCAAATATTTCCTCAACTTTTCCTCAACTTCCGAAAAAAATTATCCGAAAGTGGAGAAAAAGTCCGCAGTATAATCATAATTATTATATGATTATATAATAATTTATAATTATATTCAAAAATCGATAGTTATTACAGATTTAAAATACTGTACATGGTGGCTTGGAAACCATACTAAATGATAAAATGAGATGCTGTTTCTAATGGATGTAAAGGATTAATGGTAAGGTAGCCAAAAAATAACTGATAAGCAAATATAATATCTCAGGATAATCGTACTCCTTTATTATATATATAATATATATATATACATATAAAATTTATAGCCATCTGTGTCCTGGAATTAAGAACAGTTATATGCTTATATATATATATTTCTTAATTCCAGGACACAGATGGCTACAAAATTAATTTTTCATAGAAAGATACGATGGTAAATCTATTTGCAGCATAGTTTAGATAATATAGAGATAAGATCGAGAAATTACAGAGAAATGTCACATGTTAGTCGAAAAGCCTGCCACCTCCACATAGAGGTTAAGTATATCTGATAAAGTCTTAAAGCATTTCATAGATCTTGATTCAGCTACCAAAGAAAATATTAACATTTAGATTTACATAGTTTAAAAATTTGGCGTATTTTAAATTGGAACCATTGACGCAAGTTAAATGTGGTTAACA